GGGAAGAGGAGGTAACAACGGTGAACGAAAAAATTGTGTGCGGTCAGTGCCCCGTTTTTAGAGTACTGCATTGGCATTCTATAATTCTGAATTGTCTGCCTTAACCATGTATATTTCATATCGTAATCTTTATTTCAAACACATTTGAAATGAACAAGGGATATTAATTACTTCTCCTTTTTCTTTATCTTTCTAAAGATTTTTTATGTTGCAGAACATTATCTTTGAAGTGCTTACTACAATTTATAATAATTTAATAATTTATGTTAATTTAAATAAAATTTTGTGATTTTGAGTTGTGTAGTTGAAACATTTATCCAGGAGTTTGCTTTGAGATATATTGCTACTTTGGATAAAAGTAATAGTACTTTGTAAATTATTTTGTACTAAGAAAAGTTCACCCATGTTCTAAGACTAAACGTAGAATACAGTGCATTCACGGAGATGTTATCTCACTTTGTAAACAAAGAGATCTAAACACTATAGTTAGCATATTCTAGTAGTTTTACAATTATGACATCCAAATGGATTAATAATAATTAATAATAATGATCACATGAATGAAGTTAATGTATGCGTGAGAAAATGAAAATGATTTTCAAAGGAAAATGTATTATAAATATATAATAGAATGAAATATATAATATAATACTTGTAATTATTGGTAATTGTAATGGAAATTAATACATAATTAATTTCGTTTTGATAAGAGAAGTGAAATTATTATTAATTAATGAGTAATATTTTTTTCAGATTGTTTTTCATCGGAAGAAAGCTTTGTTTACTAATATAGAGTCAGCATCTCTTCCATTATCCTTGTAAAGACTTCCTCATCAATATGTGTTAAGTAAGGGACTTAACACCTAGCATAAACATGTTACTATTTTTAGCTTTGATAGAATGAAGAGCAAATATATCACACAGATTTCATTAGACGAAAGTAAGAGCGAATCATGTTTTAAGTACAGGACATGCTTAAAGCTAAATAAAAAAGAATAGGGCAAATTCGCAACACCTACATATTTTCTCATGAGTGTTTTCTGAGGCCTTCCTCGCTAATCTCTTTACATATTAAACATTAGCATGTATTGTGACCTTCCCATTGGAAATTTTGTTTCTCTCTAACCGGCATGGTTGCGAATCAAAAGAAGTCATGACTTTTGCGGTAACGTTCGCATTAGCTCAAGCCTTTTCACATGCCCAAGAGGCAAATAAAACATACAATGATCGCTGATTTCATCTAGAGACGAGATCTTGTGAACCCGCAAGTGTTGCGTGCCGGAAACGCGAAAACCTTTCGCGCGGCTTGCAGGAAAAGTCGCGCTATCGCCGTCCGTCCGTCCGTCCGTCCAACACATCCGAGCTTTGTTTACTTCCTTTCAACAGCCCATGGCGACGACTCTTCAAGGCGGCTCCACACATTCGGCATTCGCCGGGCAGCGAGGTACTGCGCGCCCAATCCCGAGCAGCTGATGTGTTCGGCGAATGTTCGCCCCCTTTGATGTGTCCTATAGACCAACACGCGGTGGGTTGGGCGAGCACCGAATGTTCGTCACTTGGCCAATAGCACGCAACCCATTCACACTACTCGGGATTCGGCGAGTGGTTGCTCGCTACTCGACGACTAACGTATGTGTGGACTCGCCGTCACATGCAGCTCGAGAAGCCGGGCAGACGAGCTGTACGGCGGCAGCGATTTACCAGGGGTCAGGGGTCACGGGTCACGGGCCAGCAGAACCTGATTTGGTAAATAAAAACTAATTTTGCCTAAGACTCGTGTGTGAACACTGGTAATGTTTAATGATTAACTGGCATTCGTCTGGATTTTTAAAAGGTGGAAAAGACTGATGATTGATTTAGCGTGAGTATGATCATACATCGTGGAAATGCTGATTGACATCATTCAATCATCACCATGAAATAATCAAATCATCATGAAATTATGGAAGTCGTATTTGTAACTTAGATATAATCTAAGTGGACAGGGATAATTTCAATTACTTCATACCACAGCGACAATTTATTTTGATATCATTTATGGAAACAGAAACAAAATAGTGTTATAATTTACTACTCTAAGATATTTTGTTATTAGCTTTTTATAAAAAATGATTCAATATTTAATTTCATTCACTTCACATATAAAAGATTAATGAAGTTATACTTTTTTAATAGCACATAACATTTACAAATAAACATTTTATGACGTTGAGGTGCAACTTTTAGACGTGCCAATGACTCTTCAAAAGCTTAATGCGGCCACGCAATGGCCTTCGGTTTTCTTTTGAACAACTAAGTAAGTTTTTCTCCTAACCATCACATGCAATATATTTCGCTGGTAGAAGTAACAAAATATCATCATCAAAAGGGATGAATTCATTCCGATTACAATAGGAAGGAATCTGCTGATCCTCGTTTGCTTTGTTTCAAATCTACTTGTTGATTAACAAAAGATGATATTGTTACGAAATTTGAGCAGGTGTTTGTGAAGGCGAAAATTAAAACTTAAAGTAAAAAAATGAAAAAATAACAACCCGACTTTGTACGACTGTCCAGAACAACTAGGAACAGTTTGATCTGTAATACTTCAAGATGCAATCATTTTTATTTTTCCATGTGCAATCACTAAAGTTCTGAACCCTGATTTTCATGTGTTCACAAAAAAATATTTATTTACATTTGCCATTCGGTTAAGAAATTTCAGAACGTCACTCCGTAACGTACGTAAAAAAGTTTCACGTTTTCCAAGTTTTCCCAACAAGTAATATTGAGAACTAAATGCTAGGTGTTACAATATTAGCATACATATGTAGGCTTTAGAGTGACGATATATACACGGGACAGTTTTAAATAAACAGCTGTGTCCTTCCCCGACAATACTAAAATTAGGAATCACCAAAAGTAGTTTACATTCATTAATAGATGACACATTCTAACATTACTCCATTACGACAGGAAAATCATTTTCACGCGTGTGATGTTTATAAAACTAAGGAACAAGATTAATTTTTCTTTCGCAATTAAAGGCATATTCTTAAATGCCTTGTGTATTGAAATAAATCAAAACACATCATACTAAGATAAGATTATGAAGATCAAAGTGAAAACATGTTCTCAAATCTGCAACGCGTACAATTCGGTTGAATGCGCAAAAAAGAGTGCGAGTGTGTCGCGCCGCACCTTCCTCCCAGGTGAATGCCCACGCCACAGAGCATTTGTATGCCACGTAAGAGTTGTACCATGCGATATCTTTGAACTTTGACTGCGACGTAGGTGTTATCATTTCATTGACACTTCGTGAAAGAACCGATTCAGTTGCGATTGAGGTAACGGCTAAAAATTCCGTAAACACAGCTTCTACGTTTATCTCCACGACACGTGTGTCAAAAGTACACTAGGTGTAACTATTATCAACCAAACTATAAGTTAAAGCTTCAATCATTGGTGGCAATCATTGACTACCTCACACGTTTCCTCGTTAACTTCCTAAAATATGTCACCAAGTTGACACATGTAAACACATCGTATTGCAGTTTCAATGTTTCCCTTTCGTGTCATCGCAAATATTACGACAATATGTCTATAATTATTATACGAGTCCTTTCGCAGAAAAAACTGTTTAGTTATTTGAAGCTGTTGCACCGTTCATAGAACAGAAAATTCTCGAAGTCAAGCAGAAAACGTAATGTCGACGAATTGTTTCCGCTGCTGTACTGAAACAGCAAATCGCAGCGCTGTCGCGCAATGAAATTCGCATTGCTTGTAGTAACACTGATGTACCGCACAAGGCGTCCCAAGGCTACAAGTCCTCTCAGCTCCTTCGAATTTTCATTAACACAGACGTCGCGTGAGGGCGCGGGGCGGACCTCCGAGCAGCAGTAGCAGCACGCGGTTAAATACGAGCGTCACGATCTGCCAATCGATAGAGCCAAAACACAAACACACAGCAGCGGCGGCGGCGGCAGCGACGCCGGCGACGCAGGTCCAGGGGCTGCCGAGCGCGCACGCGGGCCGAGCAGGGCAGGACAGGGCTGCGAGCGGACACCTGCCCCGGGGGAGGGGGAGAGCGGGACCGTTGCGCGACAAGGGGCGAGCGCGGGCCCGAACCACTCACCAGATGAGGTGCAGGATGAAGAGGAACACCCCCGGCACCACGAGGTCATCGCTGCCCACCGACCACCGCCGGCGGAAGACCACGATGCCCGGCATGTCTGCACCTCACTCTCTCTCACTCGCACACACACACACGCCGCGCGCGCGCTCCCCGCCCCGCGTCGC